TGCAAGGACCCGGCTCCTCCTCCGCCACCTCCCGCGACCGCGCTCCGCAGCGATGGACGGGGACGGGGACCCAGGTAGCAGCTGCGCGGACGCACGGGATGCAGCACGCGGAGGCGGGCAGAGCGCCGGGCCGGAGGGCTCCTCGGACGGCGAGGGGCCCCCGAGAGCCGCGCGTAAACTTTTCCCCGAGCAGAGCCCTTGGGACGGTCTCAGCGGAGCACAGTTTCCTCTTTCTGTCTGCTGTCTCAGGTGGCTGGGAGGCCTGGAGAGGTGACAAGCAGGAAGGGGGACCCCCGATTCCCAAGATGGACCCGGTGGGGCTGGGGGCAGCGGCGAGGTGGTGCAGCCTTCGCCTGCGTCCACTGCTGCGTTGGTCCGCCCTGGCCCGCGGGGTCCTTGGGGTGAGGGCCCTGTCCCCACGCATCCCGCCTTCCTCCCGAGGGGCTGCACTTCAGGGGGCGCCTCCTCCCCCCCCCCCCCGGGGAGAAGAGTTGGGGCCGCCCTTCCCAGGGCCCTCTGGGACTGCTCTGTCATCTCTTCTGGCACCGAAGACCCCCCCATCCCTCCGGCTTCCTGTGGGGTGGCCTGCTGAGTCAGGGTGGGGACAAGACCTGCCTGCACAGCGCTTGTCCCCCGCTCTCCTGGCCCAGCTCCGGGCGGGCAGAGCTGGGGGACGCTGGTGGGAAACTCAAGTAGCCAGGACGCTCCCCCTACAGCCCTGAGCCCCTGGATTCCGGAGCCCCTGCTCCCAACCTGTGGCACCCCCATCCACACCCTTGACAGGGCCCCAGAATCCGTTCCCAATTTTCCCCGGGGCCCAGCTATTCCCTGGACTCCGGGGCCCAACTCAGGTGAGTGAATCAGCCAGGAGGCGGCTTCCAGGGGCCAGATAACTTTCCACAGCAACAATGTGGGGAGTTGTGTCCGCAGAGGGGGGGCGTAATCGGATCTGGGGCCTCAGCGCCAGGCCTGGGGGCCAGGAGAGGGGACTGGGCTTCGAGGGCACCTTCGGGGGAGCATCAGGTGTCCGCTGGGGCCAGGGCGGGGCGGGGTGTGGAGAGGGGAAGACACCGGCCAGGCTCCCCAGAGACCTGCGGGCAGCAGGATGGACGGGCATTTATTCTCCTCTCTGCCTTCCCCACGGCGTGCGGGGTGACCCGAGAGAAGCTCACGCGTGTCTCTAGGCCTCAGTTTCCTCTTTGCCCATAGGGAGGGGTAAGCCCTACATCAGTCACATGTTGTCACACGACGCCCATAAGGAAGGGAAAGCGCCGGTTTGTTGAGATTCACTAAGCTTTGCTGGGGGTGCCCTGGGTACCTGGGCTCGGGGAAGTGGTCACGCCCCGTTCAGGGGAGTACCTGGCCGTGTGCATGTGTGTGCATGTGTGTGTGTGTGTGTGTGTGTGTAGGGGTGTGTGTGTGAGCGTGTGAGCAGGTTCGGGCCCAAACTCTGGTCCTAGGCCCTGCCACCTGTCCCTCCCCACTGCCAGGCCTCTTTCTACCACCCCAGGGCCCAGGGGCCAGGAAGCCCCGTCCTGGCTCTTTGAGCGGTGACCTCCCCACACCCAGAGTGGCCCTGTCTCCTCCCCACTCCTGTGTCCCCTCCAGAGACACTGGGCTCTTGGTATCTGCTTACTTAAGTTAAGTGGCCCGGTGAAGAGAGCTGGGATCCAAGTGACATCTGCCGGTTGCCTTCTAACTCCTGATGTCCTCATCTCTCCTCAGGGGATCTGAACCTCAGCACTGTTAGACGGCCAGGCATGACGGTCACCCCATTTCACAGATGAGGAAACTGAGGCCCAGGGACTGGAAAATACACACCTAGCCCACCTCCCTGTTTGATAGCAGACTGCTTTCCACCTCTGAGTCACACTTCAGTGGCTGGTGGGGGACAGCTGGGTCTCCAGCCCCAGGTCCCCAGATCCCCAGGTCCCCTACCCTAAGCCTCTAGTGTGGCTTTTGGCAAAGTCACATTGCATCTCTGGGCCTGAGCGTGTTCTTCTGCAAACTCAAAATCACCTCCACGTCTACAAATTCAGCCCATTCTTTTTCAATGACCTGGCGACTCTGGAACCAGACTCTGGGTACAGGCCCAGGCTCCAGTTACTTATGAGCCGCATGACCCTGGCCATTGCTTCTGCCTGTGCTTCAGTTTCCTCATCATTGAAATAAAGAGCCGTAACCTCGAAGAGGTGGTGTAGGGCTCTGATGAGCAACTGCACACTTAGAACAGGCCCGGAACTTGCTAAGTGGCCAATACATAGGCGCTCCAGACAGGATGGTGCCAGGCACCTGGTTTTGGGCTTCATGAGGTCAGTCTGCTGAAGAAAAAGGCCAGTCACTATAGCTAGGCATTGTGGCACATGTCTGTAATCCCTTCACTCTGGAGGCTGAGGCAGGAGGATTGCTGAGAGTTCAAGGCCAGCCTGAACTACATATGGAGACCCTGTCCCAACAAAAACAAAGCAAAGCAAAGCAAAGCAAAGCAAAGCAAACAACACAGCAACAAAAAAAGCTGATCACATCCCAGGACAAATTCTAGGAAGGTCTGGAATTTGGGCCGGCCGGGGTACAGTGAGGGAAATCCAGGATGGCTTCCTGAGGAGGTGAGGGAAGGGTTAACTGTTCCGTGTGAAGCGCGGGTCCATGCTGCAGGTGGCAGATCTTACCGGGGTCAGCCCAGGGCTGGGGTTTACGGGCCCTGCAGGGGGCACAGGATGCCCAAGCAGTTCTCGGGCCCGTCGGTGGCTCACCCTCCTCCCTGGGCACCCATGTGGAGTCGCCGACTCTCGTGGCGACTGCGGTTGTCCCGGGGAAGGGGGCAAATGGGCGCGGAGGGGGGCAGCTCACAGCCTCCCACTCCCCTGTCTCTCTCTGCAGAGAGCGTGGGCCAGCCGGAGGAGGAGGAGGAGGCGAGCCCAGAGGAGGCCTGCACCGAGGGAGAGCGGCCCGGGGAGGACCAGGAGGAGCCGGAGGAGGCCGCGTACCTGGCGGAGCTGCCGGAGGCGCTGCTCCTGCGCGTGCTGGCCCAGCTGCCCGCCGCTGAGCTGGTGCAGGCCTGCCGCCTAGTGTGCCTGCGCTGGAAGGAGCTGGTGGACGGCGCCCCCCTGTGGCTGCTCAAGTGCCAGCAGGAAGGGCTGGTGCCCGAGGGCGGCGGCGAAGAGGAAGAGCGCGACCACTGGCAGCAGTTCTACTTCCTCAGCAAGCGGAGGCGCAACCTGCTGCGCAACCCGTGCGGGGAAGGTGAGGCCAGGCCCGCTGGGCTGCAGGAGGGTAGGGCAGGCCAGGCCCCGGCCTGGAGCCCCCCTGGCACTTCTGCCGCCGTCTGGCTGCCGCCTGCTGTCCGGGGTCCTTTTCCTGGCGTCCGGCCTCAGTGAGCCTGGGCTGCAGTCGCCCAGGAGGAGAGGCAGGAAGTGGTCACTGCAGCCCACCGCCGTCTGCCCCGTCCCCCTACTGAGCCAGCCCTAGCTGGCCGTGGTGACACTCGCCTGTCATCCCACCACTCTGGGAGGATGAGGCAGAAGGATCGCAAGTTGGAGCCCAGCCCGGGCAATTTAACAAGACCTTGTTTCAATATAAAACATAAAAAGGGTTGGCGATGTAGCCCAGGGGAAGGCCTTGGGTTTAGTCTCCAGTACCAGAAGAAAAAAGAAAAGCCCTCCTGCAGCCTCAGCAAGGACTGGGTGACCAGAACGAGGCTGTCCCTGTCCCTACAGAGGACCTGGAGGGCTGGTGCGACGTGGAGCACGGTGGGGACGGCTGGAGGGTGGAGGAGCTGCCGGGAGACAGCGGGGTGGAATTCCCGCAGGATGACAGCGTCAGGAAGTACTTCGCCTCCTCCTTCGAGTAAGGAGGAGAGGTGTGGGGGAGGGAGGGAGGAGGAGGGAGGGGCGCCACCCCCTTTTAACTCCCCCCTCCCAGGTGGTGTCGCAAGGCGCAGGTCATTGACCTGCAGGCCGAGGGCTACTGGGAGGAGCTGCTGGACACCACCCAGCCGGCCATCGTGGCGAAGGACTGGTGAGGGCCGGGGCCAGGCGGGCTGGGGGGAAGCCAGGGGACAACAGGGACCCATTAGCACAGTGGCACCTGAGCCGAGGGCTTCCAGGCCTTCACCACCTGTCTCTTCTCCTGAGTTTGAAAGGTATGCGTGACCAGTGTCTGGACCCCTCTGGACAAAACCTGTCTGTGGCCACACGTGGTTGTGCACACCTGTAATCCCAGCCCTCTGGGAGGCTGAGGCAGGAGGATCGCAACTTAGTGACTGGGCAACTTAGCGACTTAGTGAGACATTGTCTGAAAATAGTAAAAAAGGGGCTGGGGAAGTAGCTGAGGGTGAAGACGGTGGGTCCATCCCACAGCAAAACAAAACAACAAAACCCGTGCCTCTGTGGGCAGCTTTGGCTCCAAACTTGAGTCTGGCCGACCTGAGGTTTACTGTCCCTGGCCTCGCTGTTTGCATCTGTGAAATGGGGACAAGGGTAAGGCAGGAGCGGCTTGGGCAGAAGCCGGGTCCCAGCCCGTCTCCCTCCGTCAGGTACTCGGGCCGCTCCGACGCCGGCTGTCTGTATGAGCTCAGCGTGAAGCTGCTGTCCGAGCACGAGGATGTGCTGGCTGAGTTCAACACCGGGCAGGTGCCAGTGTCCCCGGACAGCGAGGAAGGCGGCTGGACTGAAGTAAGCCTGGGGGCGGGGCCTAAGAGGGGCGGGGCCAGGCGGAGGGGGCGGAGCGCATGGAGATTGGCTGATGCTCAGGCAGGAGGGTGGGGCAAGGCTGGGTCGAGACAGGGGCTGGGAGCGTGCACTGCGCAAAATCTGAACCCGGTATGGAGACAGGTCCCTGCGTTGGAGAGCGGTAGCAAAGGAAGCCTTAAGAGCCCCACGCTGACTTATTCCCTCTCCGCTCCCTAGATCTCCCACACCTTCACCGACTACGGGCCAGGCGTGCGCTTCGTTCGGTTCGAGCACGGCGGGCAGGACGCCGTCTACTGGAAGGGCTGGTTCGGGGCCCGAGTGACCAACAGTGGCGTGTGGGTGGAGCCCTGAGCGGCCCGTCCTCCCCTCCCCGGCCGCAGTGGACAGGCCTTAGCATAGTTGGTAGCACCCTCGCCTTGCCCGCCCATGCCTCGCCTGCGTCCTGCGCGCGTGGGCACCGCTTGTAGAATGCCCGCTCGAGGGCCCGGGTTGTGCCGACCCCGCCCCTTCCTAGGCAGGGCCTGCCACCCAGCGGGCGCGCAATAAATGTTACTTATCCAGGGACAGAATGGATGCACAGCGGATGAATGAACACCTCTCCCTCCCTGGCCCTCGCGTCTCCCGAGGGCCCTGGGCCCAGCGTGGAAAAATACTTGGTTGTGCTCCAGCTGCTCCGGTTTCCAGGCCCTTTGGCCCGTGTGGAGCCAGCCTGGCCGGGCCACCAGGCAGACAAAGGCTGGGATTATGAGGCAGAGGAGACCAGGGCTGGGCCTGGCGCCGGCCGACACCCAAGCTGCCGGAGGCCGGCACAGGGCTGGGGGTGGTGGCTGTCCGCCGGCCTCTGTTGGCCTCCTGATGATCCTAGGCCGCGCTGTACCCTTACCCCTCTCTTTTCGGAGGCAGGATGGTGGTGGTGGCTGCACCAGGTCTAGGGACCAGTTCTGGGCCCCGGAGTGGCTGGGGAGGAAGCGGCTGGGCGCAGGACCCTCTCACACCTGCCTACTTCATGCTACCCGCCCGGTCTGGTTCTGGACTGGACAGGAGCCATTGGCTTCTGGTCTTGAGGGTCGTTTTCCAAGCCCTCCCCTGGTTCTGAGGCAGGAGTGTGTGTGTGTGTGTGTGTGCGTGTGTAAACCTCTCCTCTCCAGATGTGCAGCCCAGGAACATCACCAAGACCCCCAGCGCTGCGAGGACTCAGACGGGATCCCACAGTTGAAGCTGGGGTGCCGGCTGCTGTCCAGCCTCCTTTTTTAGCTCACTGATTTGCTCAGTTCTGGAACCCAGCGTGGGCCAGGCGCTGGGTGGGGGCTCTGGAGGGAAACTGTCCCAGGGAGAATCCTTGGCCAGGTCACATGGAGGGTGGATTAGACCCTGGGGCCCTCGGGTCTGATGGGGGTGCTTGGTCACTGCTTGGGGGCAGCCTTAGCCGGAGGGCGGAGATGCCCGTAGGGAGCATCTGGTGTAAAGGAGAAGGCTCTGCTCCAGCCCCAGGGGTACCGCGGGCCTTTCTAGGGGGTCTCAGTCTGAAGGGGAGGCACAATGCACCCACACGACGCTGTGACCACCAGGGTCACGTGCCTTGCCCGCTGTGCTGAGGAGCAAGGAAGGGGCACCCCGTGAGCCCCCGAGGTGGAGTGAGTGTGTGGTAGGCGGTCAGTGTCGGGGTGAGGGCTGGGGTGGACGTGTAGGGAGTTCCAGAGCCTGCACTGGGTCACTGGAAGAGGGCAGACAGAGACAGGCGGCCGGCAGGAATGGGGGAGGTGCTGCAAGTGGGGGCTCCCTGAGTTTGGGGGGCCAGGGCCATTCAAGAGAGAGGCCCTTGCGGGTTGGGCTGTGGCTGGGGTTCTGTGGCCGGTGACCAAAGCCGAGGGCACCGGGAGTGCAGGAGCAAGTGTGCAGGGAGGCAGGGTGGGCAGGGGTGGACGGGGCGTGCCACCCAGCAAGGCCACGTCCAGCAGCGGCCTGGCTCAGGGGAGGGAGCCAGAAGCTCAGAGGCCACATTCCCCTCTCGGGCTGGAGCGCACAGGAGGGACCCGAGAGGCTTGGGGTTGGGGTGTCCTAGACCCGCGTCAGTGTTGTCACGGGGAAGGGGCGTTGGATCCCTTAGTGGTTTTCGCTTAGGGAGATGGGATGGCTACCTCTGGGGTAGCTGGATAGACACGGGCACGTCCTGCCAAGTCAGACGTGGGGACAGGGGCAGTGGTCATCGTTTCTTTTCTACACGAGGCAGTCTGGCAAGTGACACAGAGGAGAAGCACGAGCTCCCGCCCAGGTGCATCGGCTCCGTGTGCCCAGCCCCCTGCATTGGCTCCCGAGGGTGGAACAGACACCCCCGTGGGTGTGCAGGGCCAGCAGGGGGCATCCTGGGCTTTCTCTGGGCAGTGGGGACAGTTGAAGCCAGAGACAGCAGACAGGGCCTGTGTACCACCCAAGTTCTCTTCCACCTAATCAGTATTTGTTGAGCACCTACTATGGGTCAGGCAGGAATAAAACAAAGTCCTGGTTGTCCTGGAATATACACTCTAGATGGAGAAGCGTAACTATGAGGCAAGGTCATAAAATACAGTGAATGTTTAAATTTGAAAATGATTACAGTAAGACACACATTGCTGGGCGTGGTGGCGCACACCTGTAATCCCAGCACTTGGAAGGCTGAGGCAGGAGGATCGCTGTGAGTTCGAGGCCAGCCTGGGCTACAAAGTGAGCTCAAGGCCAGCCTGAACTGCAGAGCGAGACCCTGTCTCAAAAAAAAAAAACCACACATATTGCTATAATCTCCCTCAAATTCCTCCCCCTCAGCTGAATACACTTATCCCGTCATCCTTGCTGCTTCCCGCAGCAGTTCTGGAAGTCCTCTTCCTTGAGTGTTTCTACTTTCGCTCTTGCGGCTACCTCAAGGTCTTGAGTGGATTCACAACATTTCCCTTTCATTGTCATTTTCACTTTGGGGAAGAGCCAGAAGTGACACGGTGCCAGACCAGGTGAATAAGGTGGATGAGGACACACTGTAATGTTTTTACTTGACAGACATTGCTGTGAACATTTGATAAACAAGGTACAATGAAAACTACGGCACATTTTTTTTTTTTTTTTTTGAGACAGGGTCTCGCTATGCAGCTCAGGCTGGCCTTGAGCTCACTTGTCCCCAGGCTGGTCTCGAACTTGCCATGATCCTCCTGCCTCAGCCTCCCGAGTGCTGGGATTACAGGCATGCGCCACCACACCCGGCTACAAATATTTAAATAAAAAATTATTCCAGTAGAAGACATAACCATGAATCTCAGAATACCTCCCCTTGCTTTGAATGCACACCGTCATTCTTGGCAATGTGTCTTGCACTGTAATAAGTTTAAAAAAGTTAAACACTCACCGTATCTTTTGATTGCCCCTTGTATAAGCACTAAGTACAAGAACAAAATCCTTACCAACATGATCTAGCACTCAGTCCACTGCTCTAAGAGCTTTATAGGTATTGATTTATCATAATAACCTTGTGAATTGGAAACTATTATTTCTATTTTTTTCTTACTGATGAAAACATTGAAGCACAGAGAGATTGAGCAACTTCCCAGACTCCACATAGCTAGTCAGTGGTGGAGGTAGAAATCGACTCACCCACTTAGATGCTTGACCTCTATAGTACAGTAAACAAAGCCGAGCGTGAGGGTGGTCGTGTTGCTCTGCTAAGGGGAAGAAATGGCATTGGGACTGAATGATGGAGAGGACTCAGCATGCAGGTTTGGTGGTGGTGAAGGAGGAGCATTACAAGAGCAGCAAGTGCAAAGGCCCTGGGATGGGAAATGAGCTTATTTATGGATCAACAGGCAGCCAGTGTGGCCGGGACAGTGATCAAGCAGGGAAGTAACGTGAGCTTGGAGATGGGCAGGGAGCCCACTGTGTGCTCTGCCCTGTGGGCTGTGAACCCTCCAGAAAGAGGCAAGGCATTGCTCAGCCTGCAGAGCTGGGGGTGGGCATTAGACATCAGCAGCTTCCAGCTTCAGTGATGAAACTGTTTCCCAGAGTCGCAGGACGAACAGGATGAAGACGATGGTGATGGTGCTGGTGACAGCAGTGAGCACAGGGTTTGCTGGGGACTTCCGGGCACCAGCTCCTGTGCCAAACCGAAGTATCAGTCAGGCTGCGTGGTGGCCCACCCTGGCACACACACGCCCTCACTCCCCAGGCCAAGGGGCTGGTGTTCAAAGGGTTACATGGTGAGTGATGAACCGGGTCACCAAGGTACAGGATCAGAGAGGGGCCAGGCATGGTGGTGCAGGCCTGTAATCCTAGCACTCGGGAGGCTGAGGCAGGAGGATCATTGTGAGTTTGAGACCAGCCTGGGCTACAAAGTGAGCTCAAGGGCAGCCTGAACTACATAGCAAGACCCTAAAAAAAAACAGGATCAGAGAGGGGCACAGGAGGGGCCTGGCTCCAGGGTGAGCAGGAGAGGCCAAAGACCCTGCTGCAGGTGTCTGTCTGTGCGAGGTGTCACCCGTGGCGGAGGGAGGGGTGCTGGGGTATCTGGGCCATTTTGGTTAGGGGGTCTGGGAAGTATAATGAATTTCCTATTAGATTTATTGGTGCATGCTTCTCTGTACAGCTTAATAGTGGAAAATGTTCCTCTCCCTCTTCTGATTTATTGCCTCGTAAAATGTGGATTTTTGCGTCCTAGTCTGTTCAGGCGTGGATATAGAGGGAGGGAAAGAGCTAGTTCCTAAAAGCACCACTAGGTGTCAGCATTGTCAAGCCAGTCCCAATGGGCTGGGCGCTGCTGAGTGCGGATTTGAATCCAAAGCCCAATCCCGCTCCATTCCTCGGGGCTGAGTCCTGGTCCTCAGGGGCTGGGCTTTGCAGATCCTCTTCCCGCAGGGGCCCTGCGGGACATTTAGGAGCCTGGGGTCTCCCAGGCCTGAGTCCTACAGGTTGAGGCAGGGCTAGTGGTCATCGGGGGTGTGGCTCCCCCATGCCCCCCCTGCAGTGAACACAGAACACCGGGGCAGATCCACGGCTGATCTCCCGGTGAGTAATGACTCTGCTATTTTTTCCCCCGTAAATTAAACCTAATCTTGTGTTGACTCTGCTGAACAAGGAGAATAATGAAGAAGATTAAGATGAGATGGGATTCATTCTCCTCCAACAAAAGCCAATTAATTGTCAGCAGGATTATCGCCCTGAGCCAGAGCCGCTATCAGCTCTGCACCGAGGAGGGCAGGGCTGGGGATGCTTCTGGGGCCTCAGCGAGGGTCTGGGGCTGATGCAGCAGGAGAGATCTCAGTTACATGTGGGGACGAACCGCCCCAAAGGGGATGTGGGGAGAGTGGAGGTGCCCAGGCCGGTGATGTCGGTCAGTCACGGAGGGAGGCCCATGCAGGCTGCCAGAGGCCTGCACACACACACCCGGCACGGGCTTCCAGAAGTCCTGGACCACCCGACGCTGTCTATCTCAGACCACCTGGGGCCCTCCCCTGTCTTTCCGGGGCCGCAGCCAGGGTCTGGGTCACCTTTTATAAGCAAAGCTGCACTTAGGGTCTCCATCCTCTTCCCCACACTGCATCCCCTTTTCCTCCCC